ATCTACATCTGAAATCCCTGGATTGAATTAAGCACAATTTTGGGAGAGGAAAAATAAACAGAATAAAATTCAATTTTCAATACTGTGCAGTTCAAACATATCTGCAGTTTTTCTACCAAAGCTCGGTGGAGTTAACCGGTTGTGTACACAAACAGTTCTTGCAGGTTGTTAGTTTGAGACCCAAAGGTGTCTTGCTTTGGTTTGTTGTCAACAACAGATGTTTCTCGGACGTCCAGCCATATTATAAGAATGTCTTTGTTACGCAGAGTTTGGGAATGAACCACCCCCTTCATCATGAAATGATGTTTTAACTTTGACCCAGCCGCATGACAGACTCATATTAGAAAAAAATAGCCAAAGCTGTGGATTTGGAAATTCTTCTTAACTGCCATTAGGAGTACAAGTACCTAGCCATCTAAGTACTACTCCCACTACCTGTTAATCCGCCATCTAGGACAGAGAGCAGTTAAACCATGTTTTTAAATTTAAATCCAGCATACTGCGAACTAGCAAACGTGAATAATACTAGGCTACATTTCGCAACGAAATGTATCTAACATACCCAGGCTTGTTACAGCGGATGCTCAATTGAATTATTTCATTTTAGATCATTGTTATTGTTCCTCAGAAGGCCACCGTAACACCGGGGCCTGCCTCGGCAGACGCTGGACATTTGTTAGCCGCCTAGCATGCCGCTCCAGCCGGCCGCAGCCACACACTAAAGGAGTCGATTTGCGGCGAGCAAAGGCGACTAAAATAGCTCACCTGGACTTCCCGACGCCGCTTTCCCCGATTATGAGGATTTTCAAAGTTGTCAAGACGTCGTCGTCCATCTTCCCTGTCACTCGAAGCTAAGCAGCCGCAGGGAGACTATCGGTCGCGAGCAGATCTGACGTCGCCCAGCGCTTTCAGACAGCGAAATCCGGTAGTGCGGTGACGTCACGCGGAGGCCGCCGCGCCGCCGACTGCCAGCAGGGGACGGTATAGGTGAACAAATAAATGTTACGTGTTCGTAGGCTATTCTTTCACCGTATTCTTTTATCAATTGCTTAATGATATATTTATCTCAACCGAGCAGTGTCTGGAACTCAAATGACATGCATCTTATAGGAGAATTCCAGGAATATTACTTGATTAAGGGTGTTACAACTACATACTTGCTGGACAAACTGATGTTTAATTTATTTTTATATCTTTTGTCTTGTCAATACGTTAAACTAACCCTTTTCCCCTCATTTTTATGTAAAACTCTGTATATGTAACGCCATATATGTAATCAGTTACCATGCCGCACAATGAATACATATACATACTCACTAAGTGATTAATGTGATGAATGATTTTGTAATTGACTATATGAAATATATTTTTCAATATGTGAAACACTTCTTATTGAATGTCAGCCCACATGTCAAGCCACAAATTTTTACTTCTATTTTGAAACAGTTTTTTTGATAGATTTTGTTTAGGATACAATATACAAAAAACAGATACACCTGCATTTCATGTAAACCTGTATGTGTCATGTCCGGGTATGGATGATGGTCCATAATACAGCTTTCAAGCTCAGACAACTTTATTTTAAACTAAACTCAAAATACTCAAAAACAAAAGAGGCCACGATAGGTCAAAACAAAGGCAGGCAAGTGATTAAAGAGTAACAAAGACTCAAACTAAACAGGCGGGAACATGGAGTACATACGCAGGTGCATAAAAGGGTATTCAACAGGGACCATCTAACAGCAAACTCATTCAATAGCTGACAAAGGAACAGGAACAAGACAGGGATATATCTGAACAAATAACCAGGTCTAGACAAGAGACATTAACAACTATTCAATTAACTGGGCACAAGGATAACGGGAGATACAAAGAACACTGCACATAAATGCAAACTAGGCACAGGGGCAAAATATACAGTTAAGGCGCAGACAAGGTTAACCAAGAACAAAGACTAACATCAAGGACCTAACCAGAGTACACATGGAACATGATTCACACATCAGGTTGACAAAAAAACCAAAAGTCCAATGTTGCTGAGCTTGATCTCACAATGGTCTGAGCCATTAGCCACACACTCAGCCCATTCAGCTAAGCAGCAGCCTAGTGTATAAGGAGAACTATGGGGACTGTGACTGGGGATAAACCTAATAGCAGGGCTGCCCAGTCCTGTTCCTGGACATCTAAAATCCTTCAGAGCTTAGGTGCAGTTTAACACACCTGACACCGCCAGTTTAGCTTCAACATAGCTGGCTCTGATGCTGTGATGCTACTGAAGGGCTTGATTATCTGTATCAGATATGTTAAATCGGGACTGCACCTAAGCTCTGCAAGGTGGTAGATCTCCAAGAGCAAGGTTGGGCAACCCTGACCTAAGGGAACACAAAGAGCTGAACAAGATGACTTGTGGCACCTGCTGGTCAAACATGGAACTACAGCATAGGACTTTGACACTGGGAGAACACCAAGACATGGACTAGACTAGGAACACTACAAAACACTAATAATATGTGTTGTTCATCAGGGGAAAGCAGAAAACATAAGAAAACAAAGGACAGAACAGAACAAGACATGAACCAGTCCTGACAGTAGATGCTGAATCATTCAGTACAAATGTATCAGCCAAATAAATTAGTATAGAAATATGTATGTAAAAAGCACCTTAACAAATAACAAATAACCAGCAAAATAAAAGGAAACATAATCTTAAATGTCATGAATCTGCCATGAACACAAGAAAAAGGTTGATGACTTGGTGATAGGGACAACCACAGCATATACATTATATTGCCAAAAGTATCGGGACACCTGCCTTTACACACGTGAACTTTAATAAGATCCCATTCTTAATACACTTTAATATGGTGTTGGCCCACCCTTTGCAGCTATAACAGCTTCACCTCTTCTGGGAAGGCTGTCCACAAGGTGTAGGAGTGTGTTTATGGGAATTTTTGACCATTATTCCAGGAGACCATTTGTTAGGTCAGGTACTGAGAAGGCCAGGCTCACAGTCTCCGATCTAATTCATCCCAAAGGTGTTCTATTGGGTTGAGGTCAGGGCTCTATGCAGCTCAGTCAAGTTCCTCCACACCAGACTTGCTCATCCATGCCCCTATGAACCTTGCTTTGTGCACTGGTGCACAGTCATATTGGAATAGGAAGGGGCCATCCCCAAACTCTTCCCACAAAGTTGGGAGCATGAAATTGTCAAAAATGGCTTTGAATGCTGCAGTATTAAGAGTTCCTTTCACTGGAACTAAGGGGCCAAGTCCAACCCCTGAAAAACAACCCCACACCATAATCCCCCCTCCACCAAACTTTACACTTCGCACCAGTGGTGGCTGGCCCATAGGGGATGCTCGGGCACTGCCCTCCCAGATGTGGGGGGGATATAAAAAAAAAACAAATATATATATATATATATATATATCACTGTCGGTGTGCCTACATGCAATCTGAATTATTTAAACATTTCCACCAAGTGACTCTCATTCAACAGTGAATTTCCACCGACAGATTTCCACCAATCATTTCTCTTCTTGGGCGCTCAATCAAAGCGCCCCAGAAGTGCAGCGAAATAGCCAATCGTGTATGGTTGCTAGGCGAAAATAATTTGGCCTATCAGCATCACCGGATTAAATGGTTTTGGGGCGCTGGAAATTTCGCCCCTGCTACAGAAAAAAAGGGAAAGTTTTGGATTGCTCTCAGGTCAATCAGTCAGAGAGAGATGATAGCAACGATGACAGTTGAGGGGCAGCTTCCACCAATTCGGTGAGATCGTTATTGAATTACCCTTTTGCGAGAAGGACGATAGTGGAAAAAATCCACGTTAAGGACCTGGGACCCGACAAGCCCGAAATAACTGTAGCTGTAAATTGTTAATTTACTTTATCTGTGAAACTGCTGATTTTGAGAAGGAAATTAAATTATGTTTGTGAAATTGTTGTCATTTTCTGACTCTTCATTTGAATGCTTATACTGGACTAGGAAGAGAAATCTATTGGTACGTAAGCCCCACCAAGAATTTTTTCACCAGCCGCCATTGCTTGGCACAATGCAGTCAGGCAAGTACCATTCTCCTGGCAAACCGCCAAACCCAGACTCGTCCATCGAATTGCCAGACAAAGAAGCGTCACTCAAGAGAACACTCCACTGCTCTAGAGTCCAGTGGTGCTGAGTTCCTGAGAGCGACCCATTCTTTCGCAAATGTTTGTAGAAGCAGTCTGCATGCCTATGTTCTTGATTTTATACACCTGTGGCTATGGAAGTGAATTCAGTGATTTGAAGGGGTGTGTGTCCCAATACTTTTGGCAATATAGTGTAGCTTAGTTTCCATGTTCAAAAAGCCATTCACTAACCCCTTGATGCTTTGTGAAAGGACGCATTGACATCCTGGAAGATTCTTCTCCCATCAGTCCGGAAATGTTTCAGAACACGGTAACTTGGAAATTCAGGTGGGGTTTGTATTTATTAGCAGTTACCTTGGTTTCTAAGGGGTCGAGTGGTCAGAGACCATGGCAATTAAATGCACCCAAAACACACTAGGTAATATAAAAGCCCCGCTTGTATAGAAAAGACGGCAACATTTAAATTGAAGCCTGACATTTTTTTCCTCGATCGAATTCCTTCACATTTCAAAAATATAGGAAAATCTTTATCACAGTGTAATTATACAGTGTAAAGTAAGGTCCGTTTCACTGGTAATAGATAACTACTATAATAATTTTCGGGAAGACATCATAAATCAGACTATGGGGTTTTCCCTAGTATTCATGTACTAAACATAAGGAAGTAAAACGTTTCGGTGTATAAATTACCCTACATAAACAGTGGAAGGTGAGATAATGTCAGAACATGTGATTTCTTTAGAATAGCACTAATGATTTAGTTGGTTTAATTTTTTACTAGTATTACGGAAAACTATTATTGACACAACAGTGCTGCCTCACAACGTTAATCAATAACTAGGAAGTATCCTCACCAAGCGGATCCGTTATTAAGGCAGTGTCCTTATCTCCGCTCTTCATGTCATCCAGGTAAGTGAGCGCTTTGTAAAGAGGTGAAAGAGCTCATTCTACGGACTATGGAGCGCTGCCGCACGGACTGCATCGAAAAGCCTCTGTCTAGGCTTTTTATGAAGTTTGGACGCTTTGTCGGCTCATACCCGATATGGTTTTTCATAATCCCTATGCTGATTTCTGCAGGACTGGGAGCAGGGTTTTATTTCCTTAAAGCAAGAGAGGCGAATGACATCGAGGACCAGTTTACACCTGTAAATGGGCCAGCAAAGCAAGAAAGAAGTTTTATCAAGGACAACTTTCCTTACAATATGTCCATGTTTTCTAGTCAGAGGCTCTACACCGAGGGGACATTTGCATCACTGATTATCACTCTTACTAATGAAGAAAATATATTAACGAAAGAAGCGTTTGAAGAAATAATCGCCCTAAACAAGCAGATACAAGAGATATCTGTGAATGACGGAAAAGAAACGAGTACTTTTCTCGATTTATGTGCCAGGGCTAACGGACAATGTGTCCCTAATGCAATACTTCAAATCATAAACAACGACGCCAGTAATATCAACACCGTAATTAAGTTTCCCCAGCATTCTGCCGGCCGTGAGTTATTTTTTCTCGGCACCACTGTCGGTGGGGTAAACGTGGATGCCGAAGGAGTTCTCCAAAGTGCTCAAGCCATTAGACTGTACTACTACCTAAAGGAAGACACAGAGACCCAAGCGAAAGCTGCTTTATGGCTGAAGGCCTTCCTTAGCTTCTCTGCCAATCTGAGCATGCAAAGTACTACGGTAAGGTTAGATTATTTTGAGAGAAACAATTCGTTTAAGCTTACTTTATATGTATTTACTTATTAGGCAGGTAATTAGGCCTACATAAACGGTCATTAATTAAATATATTAACTTTATATATTAAACGTATGTATTAAATTGTACAATTATCTTTATTATTTGGTTAAATAATTTTACAATTTTTATCTTTTAAAACACGGATATAATACTCTGTTATGTACGTATATAGGCCTATATATGTACAAATTAATGTATCATGTATACACGACGAAGGACCAGACTTTTCCATTTCTGGTGGTAGGCCTATATTTTTTAATCCAGATATTTATTTGTATACTAATAGAGTCCATTACTTGTGTTTTTTGACAGATTTCACGCTTTACATCACTATCGAGGCAGCAAGAGATGGACAGAAACACCGATGACGTGATCCCATTGTTTTCAATTACATATTTTCTCGCCATAACTTTTTCAATTACATCTTGCATGAGGTTCGTGCATGTTTGAAATTAAAAAAGTTTATAGGCTACCCTACTTATTACGAACATTACTGGTTCCTTTAGGTATGTAAAATGTCAAAAAAAAAGTCCACACATGAAATCAATGACTAAAAACCCATTTTAAATAGCTTAATGTGTGACGCATTACAGCCATAGCGAAAGCAAAAGTCGGAAGTAATTTTAATTAGAAAAATCTAAAAAAAAAAACTATAAAAGAAAAACGCACATAACATGCTTGTTATTTATCATCTACCTCACTTGTAGATGGATTAAAAACTTGTTTTAGCCATGGGCGTCGTTAGGTCCGATAACTTCCTATTTTAAGCTTAGCACCGATGCCAACGTTCCTTCAATAAAAAAGAAATATATGAATTCAAGCCCCAGGTAAACTTGACTTAGCCCCTGTTTTTTTCAATAGCTAGAAACTCCCATAGTTTTAGCTATCCGCGAAGTCGCATTGCAGTAATCGCAGCAATATTTGTTCAACACAAATGCAAAAAATAGAAATGACCTCAATCCTCATATCCCTAACGATATGTCGTTTTAGTGTCTACACAATCTGCCAGCCCTTTTGGTAAAACTGGGCAATTCAAAATGCAATTTAAACTGTATAGATATAGCTTAAACAAATAGGCCTATCATAAATCAGTGGTCTTAAACCTTTTTCAGGCCAGGGACCCCTTAGTGGATAAAGAGACAGAGCAGTGACCCCCCCTCTTATTCACACATTATGAAATTGTGTTACAGATTAGGCCTGGCCCGTATTAACATGAACATTAACTATATTAACCTGTTAATTTATGAACGTGAATAAATATGAATGATCATATTAACATATTACTTTGTACTGATGCTTAAAATACCAAAACTTTAACCATTAAAAGTATACAGAATTAAGATGAGCATTACTCGCATGTGACTGTGCTCATTAACACAGCGCATTTTCAGCTTATGTCACATTAGTCCGACTGGCAGGGCACCTGTACAATAACATTTGAGCTAAATAAAGTATCTAGGTGACAACCAACCAGTATATTTAATTCAGGGAGCAATTTACAGTGATTATTTAGTAGTGGATTGACTTATAACTGGTTTGAGTTAATAGGAAATTTATTCATAAAAATACTTTTTTAAATTTCATAAAAAGTAGTTTGTCATTCTACAATGTTTCAGCTCCGCTGTGGACCTCCTGGGGTCACGGACCCCTAGTTGATGAGCCCATTTTCAGCTATGACCTAGAGACAATAACCATGTAGTTTTCATTTACAAATATAATTTTTAAACAGAATGATGTTAACATCCCATTATTAACATAGGTAAAAACAGGTATGTTTGCAAAATGATTTTATAGTCACACATTGAAAACAACAGACATTTCAGTGTGTCTTCCTTGTGTTTGTCTTCCTCTCGATCTTTCAGGCTGGACAACGTAAGGAACAAGGTGTGGGTGGCTTCCTTTGGCGTAATTTCCGCTGGCTTGGCTGTTTTATCCAGTTTCGGCATGCTGCTGTATATCGGCGTTCCCTTTTCCATGACGGTCGGAAACGCTCCCTTCCTGATCCTCGGTGAGGCCATCAGTCGATATGATATGCTTTTTTGTAATATAAGTGCGCCTGTTGGTGTTTAAATTCTTGGGGAAAAACAGCTGATGTCTGGGTAACATTCCTTCCATATTTTAAGTCCTGGATATAATGTTATTATTAAAAAATAGGACATGATAGACGAACAGCTAATTAACAGTGGAAAAAATATGTGCCATTTTCATTTAGTTTCATCACATGATATTCAGTAGTGTGTCGTTGTGTGACAGGAGGTCTTGAATGAGGAAACATGAAAAGAAATTCTATTTTAGGATCTTTAACATTTTATGATCTTTGTCAGGTAGATTATCTGTAACGCAGTAAAACCCTGCTTCCTGCTGTCTAGGGATCGGGGTCGATGACATGTTCATCATGATTGCTAGCTGGCAGCAAACGAATGTCCATGATGATGTCAGGGATCGGATGGCGCACACGTACAAGGAAGCGGCCATTTCCATCACTATAACCACCCTGACCGATGTCCTGGCCTTCTATATCGGCACCCTGACTGGGTTCCGCTCTGTCCAGTCGTTCTGCCTGTACACCGGCACTGCTATCCTCTTCTGCTATTTCTACAATGTCACATTCTTCAGTGCCTTCATGACGCTGAACGGAAAACGGGAGAAGAGCAACAGGCACTGGCTGACCTGCAGGAAGGTTCCGCAAGAACATTCGGCAGAATACTCCAAAGGGTACAACATCTGTTGCACAGGAGGGGCTTATGACAAGAATACTGGAGCAGAGGAGATTCAGCCAATTAATTTTTTCTTTAAGAAATATTATGGGCCATTTCTAACTAATTCCTTCACAAAACTGTTTGTTGTTTTATTGTATGCAGGGTTTCTAGGGGTAAGTATTTATGGCTGCTTCCAAATTAAGGAAGGCATAGACTTGAGTAACTTGGCCCCAGATGGCTCCTATGTTGCTGATTATTATCATGATGAAAAAACATACTTCACAAAATATGGCCCGAACGTTATGGTGGCAGTGAAGGGAAAATTTCCTTACTGGAATAATACCGAAAGAGCCAGTCTTAAGAAGACTTTAGAAAAGTTTGACAACTTGACATTTATTGATAGCAGTTTATTTTTATCTTGGCTGGATTATTTTGTAAGGTATGCTGACAATTCTGGCATAGATATAAGTAATGAATCCAATTTCACAGCAAACTTACCCCAGTTTCTGCAGTCAGGCTACTTCCAGCAAGATGTTAACTTCACAAATGATGCGATTTACGCATCCCGTTTTTTTATACAGACTGTAAATATAACAGATGCCATTGCTGAGAAGAATATGTTAAATGCACTCAGAGCAACTGCTGAGGAGGGATCAACCAACAATGTCTCTCTGCTTGTGTATCATCCAGCATTCATTTATTTTGACCAGTACGCTGTTGTGGTGGAGAACACTGTCCAGAATATCATAATTGCCACGGTGGCCATGTTGGTGATTTCGCTGTTGCTTATTCCAAACCCCATCTGCTCCCTATGGGTGACTTTTGCCATCGCATCTATCATTGTGGGTGTGGCTGGCTTCATGGCACTGTGGGATGTCAATCTGGACTCTATATCAATGATCAATTTGATCATCTGCATCGGCTTCTCAGTGGACTTCTCTGCCCACATCTCATATGCCTTTGTGTCCAGCAGTAAATCGAGTGCCAATGAGAAGGCTGTTGAAGCTCTTTTTGCCCTGGGCTATCCTATTGTCCAGGGGGCCATTTCTACCATACTAGGGGTGGTGGTCCTGTCTGCATCCAGTAGCTACATCTTTAGGACCTTCTTCAAGATCATGCTCTTGGTAATCATCTTTGGAGTGGTTCATGGTATTATATTCATTCCCGTTTTCATGAGCTTCTTTGGCTGTTGCAGTAGGCCAGGTAAAGTCAACAATGAGAAAGGTCAGCAGGTAGATCCTACAAATGAACAGAGGAACAAAACCATAGGTATTTATCATAATATGGGGTATAAAGCTGATGGGTTTGGTGAAATTACATTTCCTACAGTCAACAAAATTGAAAACTTGAGTGCTAATGTACAAAATATTGATCATCTGCACAGGAGACCAACGCAAGGGTCTTTCAATCCTGACCCTGACTGCTATTGATGTCCTTGGTTCCTTGTGATGGTTGCTGCCTTTTTTTGTAGTTGTATTTTCTCATTTTGCTTAAGAAAGCTTGAAGTGATCATATTGTTTGTATAGGTTAAGAAACAGTGTCATAATGCTCTCACCTTGGAATGGCATGTCTGGAATTTTCATTTCCCAGAAATGCAGTGGTACAGAGAGCATCTGAAGTCACATTATCATCAGCCCAGGTCTAGGGACAGGCCAGTTTATGAAACCCAGCTGGTCTGAGTTGGACTAATTATTTTATTAAAGTTTTCTTCAGTATGACCTGCGTGAATCCTGGAGAGATGTTAAAACAGGAGGTGTTCCAGAAGATGCCTCTACAGCTGCCACATGTTAAATCTTTATTTCGCTATAGTATGTACTATGGATTTATTGTTATTTAGTTTTTAGTTTGCTTTACTTCAAAGGGTCGTGATTTCATTTGTTTGTTTGTTTTTTCTTTGTTTTTTGGTCTTTCTTTGGGCTTTCTTTGGTCTATACTGTTCTTTAAACCCTGCTGCTCATATCTTTCTTCTGAAACATTTACTATACTTTAATATGTAGGATTGGAGTATAGTAAAGGATGGTAAGATTATTCTGCTGTTCATTAGGCAACAGGTCTGAGAAGTTTGCAATAGGTGTTTATATGGTTGAATTTTTCCAAGAGTTTAAAATGCAAAGATTACTTTTCTGATGAGAAATGTATGCGTTTATGTATTTTTCTAGGTATTCCAATTACTCTTCTAAATAATACATAGTGAAATGGCTTCAACATGCTGTTTATCTCTGCTTAATTGTATTTTATAAGACATAATTTATTAAAGTTGTTACAACAGCGTCCAGTTCTTTGTCTCTGTCTACAGAATGAACTCATAATAGTGCCCCAAAATATTGAAAACCCATATCTATCTATCTATCTATCTATCTATCTATCTATCTATCTATATATATATATATATATATATATATATATATAGATATATATATACACACACACACACACACATACATACACACACACAGTACTGTGCAAAAGTCTTAGGCAGTCCAAAGAAATGTTTAAAGCTGTTTATCTGGGTGGCAAGTGTACTTTGGCTTAGAAAAAAAACCACAATTTAACATTAGAACATGTACAAAGTTCCTGATATCTAGTTGGATGGCTAGATGAACACCGCTTCAGTTCCCAAACTTCTCCTCAGGGGCACCTCAGCCGTTCCATGATTTTGTTAAATTTCACCAACAGCTCAATTAAATAATGAAATAAATTGGTTTAAAAAGTCAGTGACAGATTGACTAGCTGTATGAGGTGTGCTAGTGGCCAAGTCAAAAAATACATGGCTGCACTGGATGGTTGCTGCAAATACTGGGGTGATTTTAGCAGAGGTTCTGAAATGGCTAAGCTGACACACTTTGACAGACATAATATCATAGTTTTACACCAACACGAGGATAATCTAAACATCATTTTCTTTGCCTGCCTAAGACTTTTGCACAGTACTGTGTGTGTGTGTGTGTGTGTGTGTGTGTATATATATATATATATATTAGTGCTGTCAAGCGATTAAAATTTTTAATCAGATTAATCACAGGGTTGCTGTGGATTAATTTCGATTAATCACAATTAAATATCATTCATTTTTAATCTATATTAATCACATTTCATTTTGCATGAGCAAACAGACTCAAGAAAAAAGGGAATATATATGCACTTAACATGTTTATTGAACATCTTGAACACGAGTCAGATGCATTCCATCTGCCACAGAAGTGCAATACCATGGACCCATATCAAAAAGCAAGATTTTTTGCTTAGCCGGACAACTTGTCAGATTTAAGGTACCTCAGTTTAAATGGTCTTTATCTTCGTTCACTTACAGTTAGCCCGAACTACCATAAATAATAATCCGACTAATCATGAAATCCAATTCTAGCCCGGTTAATTGCCATTGTTAGCAATATCAGTTGATAACACATTACGTGCGGTGCTTTACATATAAAACTCTGTAGCAACACGTCCACAGATAAGTTGGACGGTATAGTGTGAGTGACTCATTTAATGAGCCACAAATGAGAAGTAGTGCTTAAACAGTATAAAACTATAACTTTCCCTTCTGTTGATAAAGGGCGCAGCCATCTTGGATTCTGAACTTGGGATCCTCTGTGCTGCTCCAAGATATTTCTGGGATCTCCGAGAAATGGGAGCACGCATGCCGTCACTTCCAGCTTCAAAACTCAGAATCCGATTCGGAATACGAGTTCCGAGGGCAAATGGAACGCACCAAAACTGCCCGAAATGGGTTGACAGAGACATTTCATGGATTTTGAGTTAACTGTGTTAAAATTTTTTATCAGATTAATTATGATGATGGATTAATCTGCGTTAACCCGTTAATTTTGACAGCCCTAATATATATATCTATATATACATATACACATACACACACACACAGACACGCACTATATTGCCAAAAGTATTGGGACATTTGCCTTTGCACACACATGAACTTTAATGACATCCCATTCTTAATACATAAGCTTTAATATGGAGTTGGCTCAACTATAACAGCTTCAACTATTCTGGGAAGGCTGTCCACAAGGTTCATCCCAAAGGTGTTCTGTCGGGTTGAGGTCAGGGCTCTATGCAGGCCAGTCAAGTTCCTCCACACCAGACTCTATGCAGCTCAGTCAAGACTTGCTCATCCATGCCCCTATGAACCTTGCTTTGTGCACTGGTGCGCAGTCATGTTGGAACAGGAAGGGGCCATCCCCAAACTCTTCCCATAAAGTTGGGGGCATGAAATTGTCCAAAATGGCTTTGAATGCCCCAGAATTAAGAGTTCCTTTCACTGGAACTAAGGGGCCAAGTCCCACCCCTGAAAAACAACCCCCCTCCACCAAATTTTACACTTAAGAACATAAGAACATAAGAAATTTACAAACGAGAGGAGGCCATTCGGCCCATCAAGCTCGTTTGGGGAGAACTTAACTAATAGCTCAGAGTTAGGGTTAGGGTTAGGGGTTAGGGGTTAGGGTTAGGGTTAGGGTAAATAAAAAAAATTTGTAAGCTGTACAGGGAAAAAATTGCAATAGACAATAAGAGAAATCCTCCGCTGGTAGAGACAGAGCAGTCATTCCAGCAGAAGGGATATTGGTTCACAAAATGACTGCAAATGACTGACAAAAATCAAAATCAAACGAAAGACTGAGAATATCAGCAGACTAGGGTGTGATGCTGGTCTTTCTCGGATACAGACACAGTTTTCATTTCAGCTCCATTTGGTTTATGTGGAATATCAAAGCTTATTAGTTTGGATACAATAGGTAAAATAAACATGAATTGGAGTGGTTATTTTTTTTATAGAGGTTGCTAAAGACACTTTGGATGGAAACTGACTGCTTTATGCTGGTATTCGATTATTTATTTTTTATGCAGTCAGTCTCCTGTCAACTGGCAAACCCAGACTCATCCTTCGGATAGCCAGATAGAGAAGCATGATTAGTTACTCCAGAGAACACATCTCCACTACAGTCCAGTGGCAACGTGCTTTACACCACTGCATCTGACGCTTTGCATTGCACTTAGTGATGTAAGAGCCATGGAAACCCATTCCATGAAGTTCTCTACACACCGTTCTTGAACTAATCTGAAGGCCACACGATGTTTGGAGGTCTATAGCTATTGACTCTAGAGAAAATTGGCGACTTCTGCACACTGTGCACCTCACCATGTATTGTACCTGCTTCGGGTTTTTACCTATCATTTTGTGGCTGAGTTGCTGTTCCATTTTGTTATAATACCACTAACAGTAATATTTTTAGCGAGGAAATTTCACAAGTGCACTTATTATCATGGTACCACGCTTGAATTCACTGAGTTCCTGAGAGCGATCCATTCTTTTGCAAATGTTTGTAGAAGCAGTTTGCATGCTTAGGTGCTTTTATACACCTGTGGCTATGGAAGTGATTGGAACACCTGAATTCAATGATTTGGAGGGGTGTCCCAATACTTTTGCCAATACAGTGTATTTTACCACATGTGCAGCATGAGGCAAGACCTATAACAAACCAATTGCTCTGCCACTATGTGGTTTAGCTAAATGTGATATTGTACCTTAAGTTGTACAGCATACTGTATATCACATCTCCTATATAATGATTGAGTGATGTACAGATTGACTTATGACACTATATTCTGGAACGTGACCCAGATGTAAGTCGATAGATGTGTGTACACTCTTTCTGCCCTGATGCCATAGGCATTTCACAATTTGTCCTGCTGCCAATGTTTTTATTATCTCACTCCTAGTATGAAAGGAATCTTGGTTGTATGTCTCGGAGGCATGGTAAACCTTGTTTTTAGACATTTTTTTGTCCATCCCAGAACTGGTTCTTAATGAAGTCAGATGCCTAGTGACCTCCAGCTATATAAAAATTCAACCACTGGCAATTCAAATTGTGTTTCTAGGTATTCCAAGGTACACAATGATAAATGCACAGCATTACATTATACTCGTCAGATTAGCTGCAGTGAGCCACTAAAAGAAAGTGACACCTGTGTTACTTTGGACTAATGCCTTGATAAGATTCATCCCTATTCCATGGAAGAGGATGCCTATTATCAGAACTGCATGCAAAAATTCTTTTGCAATAGCTGCTTGAACACCAATCATATGTTCACGTGTATTCATGCAAATGACTGGCTAATGGGACAGAGCCATTGAATTTTGGAGCGTTTTGATCCACCAACAGGCAATGACAATTCTAGTTTTTAGAAGGGATGGGGAAGGGAAAAGTGACAGAAAAGGGTCTTCACTGGGAGAAATTAAATCCCAACACCAACATTATCCCAACACCCAACACTAGAAACATTAAACAATGTAGATCTGTATGATTTGCCAGCAGTAAAGCGGTTTACGGACCACGATGCACTACCTCTAGTCACATACCTGGACATTATAAATTATCTTGTATTTGGAACAAGGGCATACATTTTGCATGTCTTCAAGAGTTATAAATCCCTTAATATTCTGTGATTTATAATGCTATGATACATATATATATATATATATATATATAATTACACACACACACACACACACACACACTAGAAACAAATGTAATTCAAAGTCTTTAATATTGTCATTTTAAAATTTGCACGACAATGTCTTCATTGAAAGCATCCAAAATACTCGTAAAGTCAATTTTACTCACGCGATGTGGCCTGACAACATAAACAACATAAACCAGGTATTGATCGACAGAAATTGTCCTAACAGTCAAGTTACCTTTTAAAACAGGGAAGGGATACAAATGATCTGGGAGCTGCAATTACTTAATATCTTTGTTCAACCTCTAAGATTATGATTACTGTTTAAGGTGAACTACACAGACATGCAGAGTACCTCAACAATCCTGCACAACACCGATTACTCTCTCTATGTGTGATGTCTTCTCCTCACCTCCTCAACCTGCTTCCCTCTGTGTTTTTTCCATGTATGTAGGAAAGGCAAAAAAACAAATTCCATTGTCCAGTTTTCTCCTTGAAAGATGGTGTGACCTACTGTTGCAGTTCTGACGCAGCAGGTCTGACCTGCCATGGCCACGGTTTTCGCGATCACAGCGGAAAACCAGAACACGACCCCCGACACAGCAATTGCCATTAAAAAAATGCTGCATAAACAATTGTTACGCAAAATTCAACGCGGCATGACATCAGTCGCACAGCTACTATTGCAGTTGGGTTCTGCAAACATCAGATGCATCTTCAACATGAATGTGCTTGAAGGCAGGTAGATCAATTACAGCTGATTTACAAAAGAAAAGAGGTAAATGTTCAAACATTCCTGAAAGCATCTCTATCATATTAAAATATTTCAAATTAGAATGAGTATAACAGTTAACATACACAAAAGATTGCAATATAACAGAGTATTCATACGGAGTTTGTATGAATCTTTGTTGTGTTTGATTATTTTGTTCATGTTCAAACAATTTTTGTACCCTGTCTCCACCTTCCTTTATCTTTAAAATTTTGTATCATCCATGAGTTTATGCTGTCCGATTGATTTCTGTTCTCTTTCTTTCCCATCCTGAATCATTAATACCAAGGAGGAAAGTGTAGTATTTGGGTCCAGCAGTTTAACAAGTGGGATGTTCACACCTCGGTCTTGGAAGATGAGGTTCTGGATGGTCATGACAGACATTGAGTCAATACCAAGGGCAGCAAGGGAACTGTCAACATTAAGCTCATTTTCATCCACACCACAAGCTTCGCTGACTAAAGATCTGATATATTGATCAACAGTGGTCTGAGAGGTGTCCTGCTCTACCCTGGTTTCTGGAATTTCCTGGTTTTTTAATCCTTTAACCACCAATGGAAGAAAACGCATTCTTTGTGGTTCACTCTGAGAAAGGACAAAGTTGTTCATGTTCCTGAATTCAAATTTGCACACGACCTGCTGAGGGTTGTTCAGTCGCAGACTTTGTTCTAGGCTTTCAAAAATATCTGGTACTTCCATAGTTCCCAATCCCTTTGTCTCCAGGAACTTTTGCAGGTGATCCTTGTTTGATAGGAGGCCGAGATTCAAAGCTCCCCAGTTGATGGCCTGCCCAGGAATTCCAAGGTTTCTCCGATAGAGACAGAAGCTGTCCTGGAATGAGTTGGCTGCAGCATAGTTACATTGTGCAGAGTTACCGATAAAGGATGCCACAGAGGAGTAGCAGACAAAGTAATCTAGCTTGCAGTGTCTAGTGGCATGATGCAGATTCAAAGTCCCACTGACCTTGGGTTTCAGGACTTTTTCGAAGAGCGATTTGTCAATTACATCGATCAGCCCATCATGCAAGACCACTGCACTGTGAAAGACACCCCTGATTGGATAAGAAGGAAACTGCAGTTCAATGTCACTGACTACCTTATGGACCTGCTCGGAAACAGAGATGTCACACTGCAGACTCACAAGTGATGCTCCACTTTGATTCTTTATTTCTCTAAGCTCATGCTGCATTTCAGGAGACGGAGCTCTTCTGGAAAGAATGACAATGAATTTACCCCCTTTTTCGGCAATGAACTTCACTGTTTCAAACCCCAGCCCCGTGAGTCCTCCCGCCACCATGTACACTGATTTTTCTTGGAAAAGTTGTTTCTTGCTGTCAGGCACTGGTATGTTGGATCTTTTTGCCTTTTCCAAGTCATCCAGCACAATTACTGGCATAGTCTTAGAGCAGAAATAGGACTGAGTTTCTTCATCTGCTAGATAACAAAAGCTTCCAGAGCCCATTGTCTGAAATGTGGTGCTGTGCAATTTTAAACTTTTTGATGATAAATTCATTGATTTCAGCCAATTGTAAATCTTTGCTTTCTCCTGCTTCAGATGTGCTTTCTGAAAAACTTTGTCCATGTGCAGGGTATGAATGTGAACATTTTCATTGTCCATTCTATTGTTTGAGAGAGGGATGGATCCTTCATTATCACAGACGACAACAATGTGCTTTACTGTGGAGACACTACATGCTTTAAAAACTAGACTAGCTGGGAATGGAGGCAAAAGGACAAATGCATCACATTCATTCACCATTTCTACTAGTCCACTAAACTCTGTCCCTATTAAAGACATCCATCCAGACTGCTTTGCCATGTGCACCAAGATTTGCAGGAGACAGGAGTCAGGATGATTTGAGAAAATGCCCATCTTCCTGACCTGTTTTAATTTAGGTAATGCATGGTGCAAAATCTCCCATGATAGGACAAAGTAAGACACACAAGGCACTTCCTTGAGAAATGGAAGTCTCTTGGTCTTGTAGCACACGGCCTCTGGAATCATGACTTCGGAGGATGCAACAACAGGGTAGCATGAAGCAATGTGATCTCCCACCTTCAGCTTCCTCACATCCTTCCCTACAGCAGTAACCTTGCCACTGAAATCGAGGGCCAGAAGCTTGTGATTCTGAGTTGTGTGTTTGTTCCAGTATATTTTCTGACCGAAATTCAAGTCAGAGAAAGTGACAGAGAAGTAGTCGGATGAATGTACACATAATTTATGGAGCTGCACCTCCACTTTCTGCCCCTCCACACAACTTTCCCTGGCAGAAGGAACAGCCGACAGGCATGACATTTTGTAGGCATCTGCAGTTTGCAATGTGAAATGTTCTAAATCCACAGAATTAACTTTTTTCTCACTGCTGAAAGTAGAATTTGCAACTGTACGAGTCACTTGTGCACAATTAATCTGACCTTTGTTGATGACCAATTCAAGGTATTTGCTGCAGGGGTATGACTGTATCACATGACCTAAGGTTCTGATATCCTCGTTTGACACAGAACCGACATCAATGAGCTGAATTGACATGTTTATATATTCAACTGCACAAGATCGTACCAAACCAGGGAGCACAAAGTCTGGACTAATGGCATCAACTGAACCACTTTGCAACCTGTAAGTCACTGCCCTGATGCCACCAGAAAACTTCTCATCTTTCAGCTTTACAAGCAGTTGCCGGTAAATCTCACAGATATTAACCAGGCACTCAAGGACCTTCTCTGTTTTCATATCGCTAAGCTTCTGAATCCCCCACATGAACAGCACTTCACTGTAGTCCTTGCTATTAATGCGATCATTTGGCTTGGAAAACAAGGATTGGATGTCAATGTTTTTGTAAGAGACTGGGATTGAAATGCAAAATGACTTCTGGTGCAAGTACTGACACAATTTCTTGGCAACACCAAGTGTGTCTGCAAAGACTAAGGCTCTGGGTTTCTCGTTGACATGGACATCCTCTGAGACAGCTGTCAGTTTATTCTCAAAGAAGAATTTCTCAATGATATTTGTGGGACTACCCAAAGATTTGATCCGGACATGTTTCAGCTCAATTAGAACATCACCATTTTTACTGGCAAAGCAACCACATACCTCATAGTAATCTGGCCCTTCAATGGTTCTTCTTAGATATATCACCATTTCTCTCTGAACGGGCATGGAAATTACCATTGATCCTATGGCTGTAGGGAATCCTGGTCCCTGTTTTGATCTGGAAAAAATAGCTGCCATTTGCAAAAAGTAATCTAGTACCACAGGATGAATGTGGTAGTCATGCAGTTGGCCAAGAAGTTCCTCTGGGACAGTGACTGCTAAAGCAGCTTCCTTGAATTCCTCCCCAAAGTGCACATTATCAAGTTGTTTGAAAACTAAGCTGTACTGAAATCCTACATTAGAAAGAGTGTTGTATATCTGTTCAGCCTTCAGCACTGTTTTGCATCTTTTGAAGATAGAATCTACAGAGATGTTGGGCTCTTCAAGAGACCCTTCGTCGGATTGGCTAATAGATCCTGACGTGTAAGTTGCTAATGGAGACTGCACTTTAAACGTTGCTCCTGTTTTTGTTGGCTGAAGCAGCACTCTCATTTCAGGTGAGTTTTTGGAAAGTGTAAATGGATTTTGGAAGCCGACCTCTAGTTGCAGGGAGCTAAGAGGCATTTTTGGTCGAAACCATGCCATGAATGATGCAAGACCCAGCTCAACATACAGAGATCCAGGGATGATGACAACTCCATTGTTTTTGTGCTGAGATAGATATGATGTTTCTTCAGAGTGCAAATTACAGATGAACTCTCCGTTATCAGTTGTCTTAGAAATTATGGGATGTTGAAAAGTGGACATTGTATCATCATTTCTCTGTACTGCACGAAGATATGTCTCTTTCTTCACAGAATCAAACTGATACCTTGGTAAAGGTGTTGGTGGTCCTTCCCACCCTTTGTAAAACTGATCCCAGTCAACTTGCACACCCAACTCAAAGAGTTTGGACACAAGAGTGAGGAGTGTCTCGTGGTCTTTCTCTGGCTGCACAGAGGAGAACACTGGGGTGTCATTTCCCAGTATCTCCTTGATGTTCCTTTGTAGGGCTCTTTTTGGACCTATCTCTACAAAGACAGCATTCTTCTTCTCCCTTGCTGCTGACTTTACAGCTTGCTCAAATGCAACGGGATCCCGAATGTTCCTTGCCCAGTAGGTTCCAGTGGTGAAATCACCCTTGGAATGCATCTTTCCTGTCACGGTTGAAAGCAGCTCCATCTCTGGATCCTTCCCTTGCAAGGTACCTATGTTCTTCTCAATTTTGGCCAATATAGGATCCATCATATGACTGTGATATGCAGCAGGGACATCTAAGATGTGGAGGAAGAGACTGCTGCTGTTTTTAGAAGTTTTCAACTTCTGATGAAGACTGTCTACCGCTTCTGCATCACCCGACAAGGTGCAGGACTGGGGACTGTTCATGGCAGCCAAGCAAACTTTTCCTGAATAGGCAGGGAGAAGCTTCAAGATTTCTGATACTGACATGTTGCTGGCAACAATCATTTTCCCACCAGTGACTTGACTCTGCAAGTTACTGCGAATGTAGATTACCTTCACTGCGTCCTCTAGGGACAGCAGACCAGAGCAATGGGCAGCAGCAACCTCTCCAACAGAATGCCCAAGAATGGCATCTGGTCTCACACCCCAGTGCTTTAACAGACTGCAAATAGCAACTTGAATTGCAAATAGGAGAGGTTGCACAACATCTGGCTTAGAAGAATCACCATTGTCATAATCACTTTCCAGTTTTTGCAGGATGCTCATGCTATTGTACTTCTGGAAAATGTTCTCAATCTCTAAGATTTTTTCTCTGAAAATGCTCTCCCTTTTTAGCAACTGCTTGCACATGCCTCTGTAAGTAACCCCGTTTCCACAGAAGACAAAAACTAACTGGGGGTCTGACTTTAATGGCAAGAACTTTTTGTTAAGGGATGATTTAAGTTCAGTCTGTAGTTCACTAAGAGAGGAGACCATGAAGACTTTTCTGTACTTGTGCTTTGCATGGCTCCTTCTGCAGGCTGATGTGTAAGCTATGGCTTTTACTTCTAATTTATTGTCAGTACTTATCTTTTGCACTGTGTCCTCCATCGTCATTTTAAGTGATTTCTCAGAAGCTGCAGATAGTACAAATAACTGAAATGAATCTTCAATGTTTGATTTACATATCTGTGGTTCTCTCCATTGTCTCACAATTGCATGTGCATTTGTCCCACCAAATCCAAAGTTGTTGATTCCTGCGACCCTCCCAGCTGGACCAGAAATTTCCCATTTCTCTGCTTTGGTAGGAATTTTTATATTCAAGGCTTTGGCATCTATACTGGCATTATCCTCAGAATAAAAGACGGAGGGAACTATGGTTCCATGGTGCATCATCAGAAGTACCTTGATGAGTCCCGCTACTCCAGCTGCAGATTCGGTGTGGCCGATGTTACCTTTGACGGAGCCAATGTAAAGTCTTGCTGATCCTGGTGGTCTGCCTTTGGCAATAACTTTAGAGATGCTGCTAGCTTCTGTGGGATCTCCCACTGGAGTTCCAGTCCCATGAGCCTCTATGTACTGAACCTGTGATGGATCAGTCTGTGCAGAGTAAATTCTGCGCAGAAGCTCTTCCTGCTGAACCATGGATGGCTTGGTGATTGGAGTGACGGAGCGGCCATCTTGATTGACCGCAGTTTTACTAATGATCCCCCACACATGGTCGCAGTTCCTTAGAGCCTGTTCATAAATGATAACATATTTGCATCAGCAAAATTGGTAGGAAATTTCTTCTGCTTATTCATCTAAGGTTACTGATCATTCTGAATAATTTTAGCATATTACCTCCTTCAGCGGCTTCAGGAGGACAATCCCACAGCCTTCTCCCCTTCCATATCCATCTGCTCTACTGGAGAACGGCTTGCTGGTGCCATCAGGTGAGATCATTTTTGCTTTGCTAAGAGCAACAAAGACTCGTGGTTCCATGATACAGCTGACACCTCCACACAGCGCCATCTCACAGTCCCCTGGAAAGATATAGAGTATGTCTAAGAAGATATTGTGCGTAATGCTTTAGCAGAAATATACTTAGATCAAAAGATATATACACAGTATTGTAGTGCGGGGCAGACCAAGACATCGCAGGAGCAGGACAAAGATATTTGCTTGCCAGGGAAAATGCACTCTTTAATAGCAGTCCTTAACAGGATTATAACAAGCACCCAACAAGTACCGAACCAATTACCCAGAGCAGAAAAACAAGGTAAAGTAAGGTGCACACATGGTGGGAAAGTTATACAGGCTAAGAACACACGAGGATCATACAGGGTACACACAAGACATGGGCAAACGCATGCGCAACAATAGGGAAATGCAACCATTAACAACAACAATACAATTACAATTAACTACATGCGGGCCATGTTGGCACATGCTGGCGTTACAGTATTATAAACTATAGTAATTTGGGACCCCTTGGCATCTAAAATTTTTCAGCAGGGCTTACTCAACTATGTTTCACAAATTCCACTCTTTCATTATTATTTTTTGCTCAATGTAAAAAGATATTACCGGCATATTCCCTATATCTTAGCTCCTGTAACTTAAACATGAATAGATCCCTAAAATTATAATATTTTCCTAATTCCTATGATTCCAAACAGCTTGATATAAAGTTCAAACCAAAATAAACCTGCCAGTTGAACTTGAGACATTTAGCCATCCCCGTTGGGGTATTGGTGTTGCCATCTTGGGAGAAATATTTAATGTTTACAGTTTGAATAAACTAATTTTCCCAGCATGTAAAGAGGACAGAGGAGATTGTGACACAGTATGGTTACCTTGTCTTATGGCTTGACAGGCAGAGTGGAGAGCCACCAGGGAAGAGGAGCAGGCACAGTCAATGGCGAATGACGGCCCAGTGAGGTTGAAGGTGTAGGAGATCCTGTTGGCAGCTATACTCATAGCTGTCCCTGTGCCGGTGTAGTGGGATATCGACTCTGTATTCTTAAAAATTACTTGCTCAAAATCTCTGTTCATGAGACCTATATATAGAAATATATATGAATATGCATCAATATAAATTTATAGTTTCACATGCATCAGATTCCTTCAACTCCAGCTGCCTTTAAAAAGTTTTTGTTTCATGGAAATTTTATTTGGACATTTTTTATTGCTTCAAGTACCTAATTATACAGCATTGTATCAATGAATCAACATGAATAACAAAAAGATCACTTTACTTACATAAATAACCGAATGCATATGTTAAGTATATATGAAATATAACACTTTTAATGCAATATGACTTGTTAATGGTTTGTCTTCCATGGCAAGAAAAGGACAAAAAGTTACCAATGAACACCCCTGTCCTGGTTCCGCTGGCCTTCTCCATCGGTATCCCAGCATCCTCTAGTGCTCTGTAGCTACACTCCAGCAGGAGCTTCTGCTGAGGGTCCATGTAGTCGGCCTCTGCCTCAGTGATGCCAAAAAACTTGTGGTCAAACTCATTAAACCTAAACAGAGAATGAAAGTCCAAGATTTCAATAAGTTAATCCCAAATGTGGACTGGAAACAGAGGATAAAGTCCTGTATTTGTTGACCAGGAAATTATTGTTGGTCCTTTAGGAATAGTACAGCTCTTGATGAATCCCTCTGTATATTTCATTATAAAGTATTACACATACAATATTATATTCACCAAATTATACTTCCATAGATCAAATGAACAGGATTATAGTGTAATACGTTGATCATTCACAGCAACAAACAAGCAAATAAAAATTAGTGATCCTGACCAGGAAAACTGGCTGAAATATAAATGGTTGTGATGATGGATGGATGTTATTTGAGAAACACTGCAGTACCTCTCAATAAGCGCGGCTTTGGCTGTGCGTGATCTTCCAGCCTTGCTCTCATCAGGATCATACCAGTGTCTGACATCAAACCTCTCCTCTGGAATCTCAACAGCACAGTTCCTCCCTTCCAAAAGAACCTTCCAAAAGTTCTCAAGACCTTCACCTTCAAACAAATAATACCAGAACTACATTTTTGCTGATATCATAAAACAAACGTGTTCAATTATATCTTAATTTCCTGACCTGTTTTTGCATCAATATCATTCACATTTCAACAATAACTAAAATAAAATAACCAAGTTTATAGTTTGTTTAACTATAACGGCTTCACCTACAGTCATACAGCTTCACCTAGATCACACAGAGTAACAGAGTAAATTAAAGAAAAAGGAGAACCAGACTGAGATTCGTTATAAATAATATATGAACATATAATTATTATGATAATGTACTGAGACCTCTTACCTCCTGGGAAATTGCATCCAATTCCCACTATGGCAATGTCCTCATTAGCTTCTTCCATTTTCTAACAGGTGCTAGGAAAGTAGTAAATAGCATGAGCAAACAGCACAATGGATATGTATCCCACAGCATTATATGCTATCCACAGTCGAGCATGCCGGCATCACACAGGCACAAAAACGCAGTGTGTAAATAAAACACATAAGCAAACCCAGGGGAAATAGTGAGAGCTTTCCTTTGTGAACACACCTTTTCTCCGTCGTGTGTTTTCTGGTCATCCCTGGATTTGATGTTTTTTATATACAGGGATTGAAAAAAAATTACTAAAGGATGACTAATATATGCTATCAAGTTCTAAAAGGCACAGTATGAAGGAGAGGTCAAGGGTAGCCTTCCTTACAGTCAATACAAAAAAAATTCCATGTGAGTGATTATTAACTTGAAACTACAGGGAAGTAAATCCCTAGTTTTCATGTCATAAGTTCCTGCCGACAAATGTTGGACTTTTCTTTTATTGAGTCAATTTTTGTCAAGTTAAGTCAAATTTTGTCCACAAGCTATTTAACTTGAACATGGAAAGGCTGCATTACATTGTAAAATGTTTTGGGGGAAAAAAATGAAAACACTGCTGCATATATAGGAACACATTCTTAAACATGAATAAAATTTACTGGTAACTGAAGAATCTAAATATCAATTAAAATTTAAAAATGCCCTTCACATGCCAATTCATAGTTTGTTACATGTGCTGAGGTACAGTGGCTTACATCCACATCCTAATTACAACTGTACTCATTTATAACCTTCTTTCCAAACATGCTTGTCTTCTCTTCCATAGAAGTGAAACATAAAATCATTAACTGAAAGACACTTCCTTCTCGGAACAGTTCCTGGTCATAAAGGATTAGGAAGTCGGAGGAACCTCCACGTCAGTAACATACTCTGGCCCCATCCCTGCTAGACGTGGCGACGAAATGTACAGCAGATTATCGTCGCTGCATCGCTGGCTGTCGGAATGGTGCCCGATAAATGGTGTGGGTTATATAGACCATTGGCGGACATTCTGGGGTAGGCCTTGGCTTTTGAAGAGGGACAAATAAATATACAATCAAAATTCACACACACCCCCCCACCTGTACTCCCCGATAATCTGCTCTACATGCCAGGTAAGTGTGACGTGATCCATCAGGACAGAAGTCCCGTAATAAATCATAGAAAATAATAATAAAATAAAAGTCTCAAAATTATATTTTAAACAGTCTTCAAAACAAATCTAGTGTATCCAAAACACTCTGGTACATTAGCACCTATGTACTATTTGTGGCTCTTTAAATTGGTCCTACACAGTACTGACCAAACATTGTCTGTGGACTTGTTGCTACAGTGTTTCTATGTGCAAAATGAAATAAATGGATGATACTTTATTGATCCCCGTGGGGAAAGTGTCTTTACACCTACCCCATCTTGCTCTCCATGACACACATGTAGGTGAGAACAAACCTGGCAACGAAGGGCAGCCACCTACGGAGCTAAGGTTTAAGGATCTTGCTCAAAGGCCCACAGACACAGACTATTCTGCTAAGGTCTTGAAGCAGTGACCTTCCACAGGGACAAAGGCTTAGCCCACTGAGCCAAACACTGTCCCCAATATCAGCTAACAATGGATAACAATGAACTCCATTGAACCTGCTGAGTAGCTGCACTTGGCCTGTTCCTTATAAAAGCTCATAACAGATAATACATATTATCTTGGCCTGCAGAATGACAGGTAATACAGGAATTCAACGTTTCGATACTTCATATTCAGCTTCCTGAGAACATAATCTTATAGAAAGTTCCAATTCCTTTTTACCATATCTATGTCACGTGACCCTTCTTACAGAGAAAGTACTTGTAAACATAAAATCATTAACTGATTCAAAATAAGTTAAATTGGGATTTGTTCAAGCTAGTTGGTTTGACAAAACTAGAAATCCCAAATCTGGTGTTTAACAAATCTCTTGCTGCTTTGTCTATATATTTTGGTGTGCATTTACATAGAAACACAGCTATAAAAAGTGACTTTGTTCATGAAAAAAATAGCAAACAATCACAATAAATGGTTTGGAACATTTCATGTAGATCATCCACATTTTGACAGCATTGATTTTCTTTTAGAGTTTAACACAGAAATGATGGTTTGTCTTAGAATCGGTTCGTGTTTGTTCCCTGTCTGGCCAGCCTCATGGCATCCATGACAAAAGGGGAGCCTAGAAGACAGCCACCCACTCTTGCTAGAAAATGCTGTTTCTATCCCGTTACAGCAACGGAAAAACTTCTTTATAGTCGACTTATCTTTTTTGAGCTCACAACAAATAGATATCTTACATAAGAACATAAGAACATAAGAACA